CTTCAATGGTTTAACCAAGCAGTTAGGTGTGGGGTGGCTCTCATTCACAGGCCAGCTGATGGAATGTTGTTATTGGACGGGATGTTCAGCTTCACGGCTTCACACCGTACCCAAAACAGCCTCTTAGCTGTTTGCCCTACTTCTCACTCACAGAAAGTCCAGGAACACACTGGGAAATGGATCCCACTCTGCGATCAGTAGGTCAATCACTGCCTGGGAACAAAAGGGTGTGCAAGAAGTAATGTGCCAAACCCTATCTGGTTTCAAATCAAGGAGGAGACCTCAAATCCACATACGTCCAAAACTCAGTAGCTGAGCATTTTTTCTCCCCTGTTCAATGACAGGAAACTGCTCATTGTGTTTAGAGTTCAGCAGCAAATGAGAGCTTTATTCTGGCCTCAAATCATCCCAGAGAACCTTAAATGCTCTGAGGCTGTGACCAACCTGCCTGCCAACATTAACACAAACACAAGCACACATGTCAACTCCACGCTCTCATTTCACCATCAGCCCTGCAGCAGGGACTGTGCTTCCAAGCAGGGGTTTTTAAACAGAAGGCTCGGGATGCATACAAGGGGTGGATACCCTGTTTGCACTCCTGATCTAAAGTTGCGTGAGCCCTTTTCTAGGCAAAGCCCCTAACCGCTACCTCCAGGACTCTCTTCAGAGACCTAGGGCAATGGTAAACATGTAGAAGTCTCAGCTCCCCACCACTTAGGGAGCAAAATACAGGCCTCTTTTCCCTAAAGTAGAGAAAAAGTAGATATTCCATTTCTTTAGGTCCACAGTTCAGTCTCAGCACTGACTCTACCTTATACAGATTTCTGTTTTGATGCCTGAAATCAAAACATTGATTTTATACAATTTTATTTGTCAATTATATCTTAATACAGCTGAAAAATTGTTTTCATAAATAAACCTTAAAAACAAAAACCAATTTATTTTTCCTTTATTGAAAAAAACCTGACTCTTTGTTATATAAAAAAAACTGAGATAGCTACTTTCCTCTGGCAGGAAATCAATAACTTTGACCAATTCACACCCACTGGACAGAGTTCAAGGGACTCTTGTTGACAGTTTCCATCTGGTTTGAAGACATCCAGAACAGATTTTTTCCGTAAGTGGTCCAATGGCCAGAGGCAGGTCTGCCATGCTGCTTGCCAAAACTGTCACAATAAATGTAATATAATGCTGATAATTTATTGTTAGGGAAAATGAGGATTCTATTATCAAATATTCCATTTCATTATCTAGTAAGATAACATCTTGCAAAATCCTGGAAAAAGATAGTTTAATTACAAAATTTCCAGGTCTACATAATAAATACTCTTATTTACATGATCTTAATATTCCATAAGAACTAATACATTTAAAAATCTAGGCTGTTACTAAGTAAAGGTACACTAAGATTTTTTTTAAGCTTTTTACCTCTTCCAAAGATGCAAATTTATCCAGTAGTAATTATAGTCCCTTTATTTTAATATCATATTAAATAGAAAAGGGCTCTACAATGACAAAACTGCATCCTCTGAGTCACAGGAAAAATTAAGAATAGATGTTGTGCATGTGTGTGCCCAGTGATGTCCAACTCTTTGCAACCCTGTAGACTGTAGCCTATCAGGCTCCTCTGTCCACAGGATTTTCCAGGCAAGAATATTAGAGTGGGTTGCCATCTCCTTCTCCAGGGGATCTTCCCGACCTAGGGATCAAACCTGCATCTCTTATGTCTCCTGTGTTACAAGCAGACTTCTTACCTCTTGGGCTGAATGGATAGGTCACCATAAGATACTGTCCAGATGCTCTTTAAATAGTCCTCCATTATATCTTTTTCCCCATAATTGATCATTTAAAACAGGTAGTAAATGAATGGCATTTCAATAGCCATCTAGCTATGTTAGTAAATACTTGGCTCAAAACATAATACTAAATCCAGTATTCAGAATATAAATGCAGGAAAGAAAAGCAAATAAATAATTAGATGTATTGCAGAGAAAAATAAAGCCCTGCAAATAAAGCTGACAAATTTGATAACTATTCCCTCTATAAATAGGAATAGTTGTTAAAAGCTAAATATGCCACTTTTACTTCCTCCAACAAAGCAAAACTAGAAGGAAAAAGTGGTTGATACTCTTTTTGGAAAACATACACTGGATATATATAATAGTTTGCAACTGGACTACTGATGCAAAGCTATTTGCTGAAAACTACAGAGGTAACGAATTACCTAATTCCATATATGTGCTTAATTGCTCAGTCATATCCGACTCTCTGCAACTCCATGGACTCTAGCCCAGCTGGCTCCTCTGTCCATGGGGATTCTCCAGGAAAGAATACTGGAGTGGCTGCCATGCCCTCCTTGAATTCCACATAGAGATGTGTCTTTATAGATAAGACTGAACAGATGAACCCAATCAACTGAAATGACTGGACACTTTCCTCCCATTCCTTAGAGACCACCAATTCTGTCACAATTCAAGAGGACACAGAAGACAAGACCTAGCTCAAACCAGCAGATGAGGGGAAGCCCAGACTTCCATTCAATCTAACACAAGTTTCTAAGTGTCCATCACTCGGCCAAAACCGTGCCAGACACTGTCTATCAAGATGAGAAACTCTTTTTCTCAGCCCTCAAGGAAGTTAGAATCGTACAGCAAAACAGATGCAAGAAAACAAGTAAATACAGACCAGGGTAGAATTAGGTTTCATGAGGTAGCTGCTCAGGTTTTTCAAAAGGGGAGAACAGTGCATGTGTATGTCTGTGAAAGCCCTTTGGTCATCAAACATCCACATCATATTCTTTAATTGCCGAGAAGCACCTGTGCTCAAGAAGCAGGGAATCTGTGACTGGTACTCTCAGAGTACCAGAGAGCATCGTCACGGTCGCAAAGGCATGAGGTTGGAGGATGAAAACAGACTAGATGTTTGTGTTCCCCCAAAATTCATACGTTGAGTCCTAATGGCCAATGAGAAGGAATTAGGAAGCAGGGCCTTTGGGAGGTGATTAGGTCTTAGAGTGGAGTCCTTGTGAATGGCATTAGGGCTCTTAATAAAAAGAGACTCCCCCAAAAAGAGACCCCAGAGAGGTCGTTCACTCTTTCCACCATGGGAGCACAATAGGAAGATGACCTTCTATAAACCAAGAAGCAGGTTCTCACCAGACACCCAGTCTGCCGGGGCCTTGATCTTGGACTTTCCAGTTCCTCCAGGACTGTGAGAAATAAATTTTTGTTGTTTACAAGCCACCCAGTCTGTGGTATTTTAATATAGCGGCCCACACAAACTAAGTCAGAGGGCCCTAAAATGGCAGTGAAAACTGAGATGTTCATGTGTCAAAAGAATAAAACCTACAAGACTGCAGGGACACATTCTGCAGGGGACCAAGAGGTGCACCTGAAATCTGTGGGCTCCTCCAGTGAATCCAAACTGACACAGCAGAGAAGCCCAACAAAGGCTGCTAAGTCCCCACTCAAATCCACCATTAGCTCCAAGTATCTCATCCTTGATTACAAGTATCCTAGAGAAGACCCGTGTAACAAAGACCAGTTTCATTCATAAACCTAATAGAAAAGACTGCTGCTGGAAGGCTATTGACTGGGTTAACAATTGTATTTCCCAGGAGTGAAGACATAAGAACAGAGAAAGAAAAACAGCTTGTTGGACCATATATATCATCTCAGTCTCTTTAGAATAGTGCTTCTTAATTAAGGCTGCACACAGCATTGAGTTTGGTAATATGCCCAATCTATTTAAATAGGAAATAAGAAAAATACAAAATAACTGTGATAGCACTCACTGGTGCATAACTCAGTCATGCAACAGGTCCCCTCCCTCACCACTTGCAGGTTCTCATTTTCTGTTATTAGACTATAGCTGACTTATAAAGTCATCTTAGTTTCAGGTGTATAGCACAGTGATTCAAGTATATTCTTTTCACTTTTAGGTTATTACAAAATTTTGAGTATAGTTCCCTGTGCTATATAGTAGGTCCTCTACATACAAACCTTCAAACTGCAAACTCTCAAAGATATAACATGTGATCGCGTGTCTAATCATGTGCTTTAGTTTACATGTCTAGTGTATGTTGTCATGTGTGTGCATCCTCTACAAGCGGTTGTCTTTTGTGTACTTTATTTTTTTTCCATTTATTTTTATTAGTTGGAGGCTAATTACTTTACAATATTGTAGTGGGTTCTGTCATACATTGACATGAATCAGCCATGGATTTAGATGTATTCCCCATCCCGATCCCCCCTCCCACCTCCCTCTCCACCCAATTCCTCTGGGTCTTCCNCCCGAGCACTTGTCTCATGCATCCAACCTGGGCTGGTGATCTGTTTCACCCTAGATAATATACATGTTTTGATACTGTTCTCTCGAAACATCCCACCCTCGCATTCTCCCACAGAGTCCAAAAGTCTGTTCTGTACTTTATTTTATAGTAGCGTACAGAGGGCTTTCCTGGTGGCTCAATGGGAAAGAATCTGCCTGCCAGTGCAGGAGATGTAAGAGACTCAGGTTTGATCCCTGGATCAGGAAGATCTCCTGGAGAAGTAAATGCCAACCCACTCCAGTATTCTTGCCGGGGAAAACTCATGGACAGAGGAGCCTGGTGGGTTACAGTTCATGGGGTCACAGAAGAGTCAGACATGACTTAACTAATTGAAGCATACGTATTGTATAGAGTACAACAGTATGGTTCAGTAAAGCCCAGTATCTTTATTTCAAACCTAGGATGTCCAGAAGCAAATATAAAAGCAGCAGGGATGCAGCTGGTCCTACTAAGAAGCACTACGTGTTGTGCTGTATTACTGTATTTTTTTTTGTATTACTGTATTTTTTAAGGTACTGTAAGATTAAAAAATGTTTTATCTTTGTTTGTTTTCATGTACCATTTGTGTGAAAAGTGTGACAAATATATTACAGTACAGTACTATATAGCCAATTGTGTTAGCTGGGTACCTAACCCAACTTTGTTGGACTTAGGAACAAACTGAACTTACAAACATGCTCTCAGGACAGAACTCATTCGCATGTAGGAGACTGACTGTATAGTAGCGTGAACATGTCGATCTCATTTTTGAAGCTTCTAGCTCCACAGTTAGAGACGGTGCAAGGAACAGCAGCAAGCAGCTGACGGCCAGTTGGGCAGTTTCCCCAGCTCCATCTACGGTCTTCCTGGTCTTGGCCAAGGTGTAGGGTGTCGGGGCGCAGCTCTGTTTGAATTCAGCTGGCCAACACCACCCCTGGTTGTAGCTGTCTGTGTTTTGGGTACCATGTTGAGGAAACACAAAATGAGCAAAGCCTTTCTGTGCTCAGTCACAGCAAGCAGATGAGCACAGACCATCACCAAGACAATGTACTGTATGAAATTTGCTGTATTCGAACTCCAGGCTCATGCCATCAGAGCTGTCTGCATGGCTTTGACAAACCAGCATTGGTAAAGTCAGATATGCCCTTGACACTTCAGCTTTTACTAGGAAGAGTTCACTGCACCAGTTAAGGCCCCAACAGGAAACCAGTGGCCCCCTCAGATTAGGACACTTGGGGTACATTTACAAAAGTGAGGACAAGAGTGCAGTAACTGGGGTGCTAGCACTAGTTATTCACCCCTCTCCAAGCCCAAAGAGACAGAAGGAGTTAGTATTTACCCAAATCAAAAAGCTAGGCAGTCTGCAAGGATGCCAGCCTTATAAGGCAAAGTGACCTTTATTAGGCTGAGGCAAACTCACAGACAGGGAGCCCACAGGTGACTATGCTGACTTAATACTCCCCTCTCCTGCCTGTTGACTGTAAACAAACAACGCACAACCTTTATTCAAGATGCCCCAGGTGGCACTAGTGGTAAATAACCCACCTGCCAATGCAGGAGACATAAGAGACACAGGTACCATCTCTGGGTCAGAAGATGAAATGGCAACCCACTCCAGTATCTGTGCCTGGGAAATCCCATGCACAGAGGAAGCTAATGGCGTACAGTCCGTAGCATCACGAAGAGTCAGACACGACTGAAGTGACTTAGCATGCGTGCTTTATTCAAGAGCCTGGGAGACAGCCTCTCAGATAGTTCTAAGGAACTGTTCCAAAGAGGTAAGGGACGAACCAGGATACATACAAGTTTTTGCTGAAAAAAATGTAGTCAAACATCAAAAGACTACCACTAATCACAAAAAACAGATATCTCAATTAATGATTTTAGTGCTTTTCTATACATAGGAAGATGCAAGAGTCTAAGTTTATAAAAATTCCTTTTATATGTATCTTAACTATGTAGGACCTGTTTTTCACCATCCTGAACTCCTCTCAGGGTCACCATCGGGGGCAGCTGCAGGGGCTGATGGTTTGATGGTGGTCAACAATCACTGTTTATTGAAATGGCAAGCAACGTTCTTTATTCATATGCTCATTTCCTGTTGGGCTCCTTACTGACTGAACCCAGCTAGAAGCCACCAGGCACGGTACTCTGTTGACTCAATGCATATAGGCAGAGAGAACAGGGTAAAAATGAGCGGAGAGTGGGTATACAAGGGGAATAGTAGAAGGCACTCTATGCTTTTCTTAATGCATAAAAACAAAAAGCAATACAGAACTCCAGGGAAGTGAGCATGCAAAAGAAAGTCATTGTGCAAAAAGGAAACCCACTAAAATGTGGCCAAATGTGCTGAGTATACTGGAAAGAGAATTTAACACTTCTTGAAGAAAAGAAGTTGTGGTTCTGGTACCAGAGAGAAAGCAATCTAATCATAGTACAGCTCTGTATACTGCAGTAAAACCTACTTTCAGCTTTTGTCTTTCAAAAATCAACCTATACATAAAGCAGATGACGATTTAAATTTCAGAATGTATGCGCTGCTGCTCAGTCACTAAGATGTGGCCAACTCTGCGACCCTCTGGACTATGTAGCTCACCAGGCTCCTCTGTCCATGGGATTTCCCAGGCAAGAATACTGGAATGGGTTGCCATTTCTTTCTCCAGGGGATCTTCCTGATCCAAGAATTGAACCCACGTCTCTGGCTCGGCAGGCAGATTCTTTACCACTGAGCCACCAAGGAAGTCCCACAGTTTCAGCCATAATGACGTTCACAGTAAAGATAGAGGGAGGAGAGGGAAGGAAGGGCAGAAAACAGAGACTCAAGAGGTACTGCTGAGAGCTGATCAAATAAAAAATAGAAATTTACAAGTATCAATAACACCTATAAAATTGGAATATGGTAACCACCATATGGTAGAAAGGTCACCTCAGGCCTTGCTTGCCCAGCATGTGAGCATCTTCCCCTAGGCATTTCAGCTTCTGGAAGTAATAACTGAGCAAACATAATGTCTTCTCGTTCCAGTCATTCAAAACTCTCCATCAGCACCAGTTTATTTTTTTTTTATTTTATTTTCCAGCTTTTTCATTTATTCCACTTTTAACAAAGTAGAAGAAATAATACAGGATTAAAACTGCAAAAGTAGTTAATTGGTAGAAAACACACACAAAAAAATCTGGATAGGAAGACAAGCTTATATACAATGAGGAAACACGTGTAAATTATGGTAGTTTGTATACGAAACATTTTTTTAAAAAAGTCAAACATGCTACACAGTGCCACTGTTTAGAGCAATATTGAAGGGGAGAAAATAACACTAATTTAGGGACTGATATATCACAAGGTCCAGGTTTCACAGCATCAGTGCAATAAATTCACAAAACTATATTACAGCTAGTTTATCAGTTTAAGAATTGTTCCCAAATATGTCACATTTCCAGCCCTCAGAGGTCCATTCCTACAGATTTCAACTACTCCATCTATGGGGACCAAAAGCAGCCAGTGTTACCATAAAAGGAGACTCTTGAGACTTATCTTTAAGGCTTATTCTGGTCTTGAAAAATTAGTTGGATAAGGCTATTTTCTACTGAAGTGAATCTTGACTCAACACAGGAAGACTTTTGTCCTTTATTGGCTGGTCTTGGAGTGAAGATCACAGACATGACTCTTAACCTATTATGGACTTTAGCTCCAATTAACTAAAAATCTGAAATTTAAAAGTCCTAAATACCAACTTGTGTAAGCCTGCTACTAAAAAGCCTTTGAGGATGTACTAACTTCAAGTTTAAGTGCACGGGAACAAGAGTTCTGAACGTTCCTGTCAGATTCCCCATTTGGGAGGAAGGATCAATGTTTCCCACAAACAGCTAAATTCTGCACAAGGGAGAAAACACATGCTAAGACATGGAATGAGTTTCATCTTATTCCATGAGGCTTCTCCCACACTATCGAAACAGAATGAGGAATGA